AGATGTCTGGCTGGGTGTTCTACCCACCACAGCCAGCTGCAGCTGACCAGCTACTCTCTCTCCTGCTCTGCTCTGCCAGGAGTTGCCTGGTGCCAACTTCATGGTTATTGAACAAAGGCAGTTGGTGCCAGGCTGGTCACCCCATTCATGGGTGGTGCCAAGCTATCAGCTGCAGGTGTGGGGGCCATGGGCGAGAGACCCCACCCTAACTCCATCAATGCCCACTAGGCTCTAGGAGTTTCTCCAGGACCTCTGTGATGTCACCATTTTCTTTCAGCAAGTGGTTGAGCACAGGCTGACATAGAGAACCCCACATTAGGGGCTGGGGATGCGCCTCAGTGGGTACGGTGGGTTCTCAGCCTGCACGAGGTCCTGGTTTTGACCCCTGGCACCAGAACAAGCAAACAACAACTAAAGAACCACACGGGACACTGGAGGGCAAAGGAAAGAAAAGCAGCAGAGTTCCGCCAAGTGTCTGCTCTTGCGGCTCTTGTTAAGGTGGCTGGAAAGAGATCTGCCCACAGAACAGCCAAGAATAAAGAAACACAGTGAAGGATTTATGCACAAGACCACAGGCTTTGCAGGGCACACAGCAGTGGGGGCTGCTAGGAAGAAACATTAAAGATTCGCGAGGGTTAGCCTGTGAGGACGACAGTGACCGAGGAGATGCCTGCCTCCGTGGAGGTGGGCCTCACCCCTGCAAATGCATTCCAGCCAGCAGAACCCCCACAGACAGGTGCTGCGGGTCTCGGAACTCCGCTGGCTGTGGCCAGGCAGCTTCGGCCCGAGCGTGCTGAGGAATGACCTGGGGATCCTGTGATGAAGGCCGCAGGGAGGCCCTCACGCCAGAGGCGCCCCACTAACCTCTCGGTGGGCACAAACCCGCACGGCCGGCCGTAAGGGCTGCAGCTGGCACTGCTGGACGTGGGGTTGCCATGTGCCCTTGAGAACTGTAACCAGAGCTCCAGCCACAGGGGCAGCGAGCGCCCTCAACACCAGATACCACACTAAACCCCTCATGACACACACACCACAACGCCTAAACCCACGCACCTCCACAAACCACATGTAACAGACCACACCCTTTATACACTGCACATATACCACACTACCCCCCCACTACCCCACAAACCACACGTATTTCATACTACCCCCCCACAAACCACACACACCCCATACCACCCCTTACAGACTCCTTATATTACTCTCCCAGCCACCCACCCACACCCACACCCACACTCACACTACCCACCCAAAGCCCCCCCTCCTGTGGAAACACATTACATATACCACATACAGCCCCACACCACACATGCAAATTCACTACACCCTCATACCCAAAATGTACCAGGACCTATTAACCTTGGCCTGGACATGAATCTGACAGGGATTTCGAATCTGTGACTGGAGACAGCCGTGTTTGCCATGCATTCCGTGAGTTATGGAGCAGGCAAGGGGTCGTGAGTGGGGCTCCCTGCGTGTTATTGCCATCAGAGGCAGAGTGCGTCATTGCCTCGCTTGGGCCATGGCAGTGCACAAGAGCAGAGACCCCGGGCTGTTGGGTCACCAACAGGGCTGTTAGCGGCCCTCCTACCTCGGTGCTGAGATTTATCGATCTCATTTTCAGATGGAGAAAATGGCTACAGGGAACCAGAGCGGTGAGCCAGAGGTGAAGCAGTCGAGGCCCGGGCAGCTTACGTGTTCAATAAATCCGCTGACTGAATCACAGGCCAGGAAGGACACAGAAATGTGGGTGGCCATATTCCTCCTCCAGCGCTGGTCAGGCAGCAGGACAGGGGCCTGAGCAAGACTGCAGTGGCCGGGGCCAGCCAGGATGGAGGTCCTCCCACCCCCATTTCCTGAGTTCCCGACTCCTCCACTCCCGACCCAGCTGCTCCGGTAGGAGAGGAGCGAACTTCGTGGTCACGGCAGGGCAGTCAGTTCTCTGGCCCCTCGGAGCTGTGTGTGTAGCCCCAAAGGTTACATCTAGATTGTGAGACCAGAGTGACCGCCTGCATCCAAGGGGCAGCCCAGGGTCAGGGAGATGGCTCAGTAAGGTGCATACAAGAACCTCAGTTTGGTTCCCAGGACCCATATAAAAACAAACACCACCACCACCACCTCTGGTTTGTGTGGTGGCCGTGCTTGTAATCCCAGCACTGGGGAGACAGAGACAGGTGGATCCCTGAGGTTCGCTGGCCCACCAACCGAGCCTACATGGAGAGTTCCAGGGTGGTGAGAGACCCTGTCTCCCTCTCACAGGTATAAGCCTCTCGACTGCCACCCTGTCTCACCCCACTTCCTCCAGGGCTCTCCGGAGCTCTGCGGAATGCCTACCCAGGTTCCTCGTGGGGGAGGAAGACAGAAGTGCCAGCCCCGACAAACATGGCCAGGGGGTCACAGCGAGTCATCTCCTGGGCCATCTCACTCTGACACCACTGGTTGCTCCGGAGCCAAAGTAATTAGGTTTCTTCTGTCTGTGACTCCCCATGTCATGAAAAACCAGTGGCCATCAGCCAGGGACAGCCATATCGCTGTGGTCACAGCTGCCTCCAAGCCACCCTGGCCAGAGCCTCTCCAGAACAGTTGAGTCAGAATGCCTCAGTGCCAGTCAGGAAGGAGGACCTTTCCCATTTCAAGGGAAGGGGCTGCCTGGTGT